TATTCATTAACAAACCCCTTTCAAAGATTTTTTTTTTAACGTTTATTTATTTTTGAGACAGAGAGAGACAGAGCATGAATGGGGGAGGGTCAGAGAGAGGGAGACACAGAATCTGAAACAGGCTCCAGGCTCTGAGCTGTCAGCAGAGTCCGACGCGGGGCTCGAACTCACGGACCGTGAGATCACGACCTGAGCAGAAGTCGGCCGCTCAACCGACTGAGCCACCCAGGCGCCCTAACAAACCCCTTTCAACCACATCTGAGTTTATGTTAATGAGGTAACTTTTGGAAAACTCCTTAAAAATGGGAGCCATTTGCCAGGATTGGGGGGGTTGGAACTTTTAATCCCACCTCCCTGACCTTGGAGGTTGAATCCTTTGCCAATAGCCAGTTATTTAATCAGTCATGCCTATGTAAGGAAGCCCACAAGGACAGGATTCTGAGAATTTCTGGATTAATGAAATATGTGAACATTTGGGAAGAGTATGGAGCACTCAGAGAGGGCATAGAAGTTCAGCACCCTTTTCCATAACTTGCCCTATGCCTCTCTTCCATCTGGTTGTTCCAGAGTTATATCCTTCATAATAAACTGGTAATCTAGTAAATAAAATACTTTGCTCAGTTCTGTGAGCCATTCTGGCAAATTAATTGAACCCAGGAAGGAGGTTTTGGGAATCTCTGATTTCTGTCAGAAGCACAAGTGACAACCTGGACTTTTGATTGGGGTCTGAAGTGACACAGGGGGCAGTCTTGTAGGATTGAGTTCTTAACCTGTGGGATCTGATGCTATCTGCAGCTAGATAGTGTCAGAATTGAATCATAGGACACCCAGCTGGTGTCTAAGAATTGGTTGGTGGTGTAGGGGGAAAAAAACCCATGCTTTGGAATTGGTCACAGAATCAGAGGACCCTTTTCCAGGTTGCAATCCCCAGCTTCTCATTGTGTCCTCAAATAGCAGAAAGAGGATCCCTATTTTTTCCATTGCTCTGCTTCCTTTTCCTGCCTTCTATTGGTTATCTGAACATTTTTAGTATTCCATATTGATTCATTATATATGATCTTTTTATAAGTTATGTTACTTTTCATAACTTTTTTATTGGTTGTTCTAGGGATTGTAAAGCACACGCTTAACATTTCAGTTTACTGAGAATCAATATTTCACTACTTCAAATGGATTGTAGAAATCTTACACCTTTCCCTTCCCCCCCTTATGTCATAGTTCTCTTACATATTATGTTTATAGTCACCGAAATCCTATTAGACAGTGCTTTAATTTCTTACTTTCAACCACAAAATATCTTTTAAAGAGCTCCAGAAGAAACAGTCTATTCTCTTGTTCAGTTTAACCTCTGGATCGCTTTTGCTTTGTTCTTTGTGTCCCAGGTGTCCTTCTGGTATCACTTCCTTTTTATCTAAAGAACTTTGATTAGCCTGTTGTCTATGAATCCTCTTACTTTTCCTTTATCTGAGAATGTTATTTCACCTTCATTCTTTTTTGTTTTTAATTTTTTCCAGTGTGTATTTTATTTTTGAGAGAGAGCGCATGAGCATGAGCGGGGGAGGAGCAGAGAGTGAGGGGGAAGAGGATCTAAAGCAGGCTGTGCATTGACAATAGCAAGTCTGTTGCGGGGCTTGAACTCACAGTGAGATCATGACTTGAGCCGAAGTTTGACACTAAACCGACTGAGCCACCCAGGCACCCCTTCACCTTCTTTCTTGAAGACTATTTCACTTGATATAGGAATCTGTGTTGACAGTTCTTTTCTTCCAGACTTTAAAAAGTGTCATTCTACTTCCTAAGGCCTCCTTGGTTTCTGAGGAGAAATCAACAGGCATTCAAATTGTTGTTCTGTAGGTAATGCATTTTTTTCTCTGTTTTAAAGGTACATTATTTTCATCAGTTAATTTTATTTTAAATATAGTTGACACCCAATATGTCACATTAGTTTCAGGCATACAACATAGTGATTTGACAAGTTTATACATTATGCTGTGTTCACCACAAGTGCAACTACCATCTATCCTGATACATCCCTGTTACAATACCATTGACTGTATTCATTATGTTGTGCCTTGTATTCCCATGACTTATTCATTCAAGATATCTTTTTTTTCCTTTGCTTTAGTTTATAACAGTTTGATTATGATCTGTCCAGTAAGGATTTCTTTAGGTTTATCCTGTTTGGGATCTATTAAGCTTCTTGAATTCATATGAGTGTTCTGCCAAATGTGGGAAGTTTTCAGTCATTGTTTTCAGCTATTTTTTTACCCACTTTCAGCACTCCTTGCACTCATAACACAAATGTTAGACCACTTGTCTCATCCCAAAGTTCCCCTGAGGATTTTCACTTTTTTCCCAACCTTTTTTCAGTTGTTCAGATTAGATAATTTCTATTGTTCACCGAATCTTTGTTTTGCTCTTGAGCTCATGTAGGGGCTTTAAAATTTTTCACACAGTATTTTTAGTTCTAAAAGTTTAAGGATTTTCTTTAGTTCTTTATATAAAGGTTTTTTTTCTTCCTCTGACATTCGATTTTTTCTTTCAGTTTGGAAGTGTTGTCATTGTTAGAGCATTTTTTTAGTAGTTGCTTTAAACTCTGATGCATGATTGTAATATCTGTATTATTTCATTGTTGGTATGTTAGTCATCTTTTCCTATAAGAATTAAGACATTTCTGGTTCTTTGTGTGCTGAGTCGTTTGGACTGCAACTGGACGTTTTGTATATTATGAAATGAGACTCTGGGTCTTAAGTCCTAGGCAAATGCTGACTTTTTATTTTAGAATCAAACAACCTGGTTCAATTTAGGGTGTGGTTTTGACCTGCTTTCTCTGGCGTGTGATTCAGTGTCAGTTCTGTTCTCAGAGCCCCTGTGGTGCCATTTGGATCTGTCCTATGAGTGCTGCCTCTGGCCATCTGGGAGTTTTCTGTGGTCTCAGGGATTGGGGTGTGAGAGGATCAGATCCATGCATTTGTCTCTTGGGCATGGGCCCAAAGTTCATGAGCAACTTTATGGGCTTGCTCTTCTGAGATTCTTCCTCTCCACATTGTCCCTGGGGCTGTCCAGTACCTTTGGGTTCCTTTTTTGGTTCTTAAGCCAGCAGCTTGGGGGTTTGGTAACTTGCCCTACCATGTACTTCTATACCCACACTTTCTCTGGGGCCTAGTGTTGGGAGGAGCTTCTTCAATTGAGTGTTCTCATCCAGCCTGTCTGCTGCTGTTTCCTTCTCACAATACATGTAGCTGCCTCATGTGTCCCATCTGGGGTCAGAGCTGCCCCACATGTCCTATCTGGGATCAGAGCTGCTTGGTGTGTCACATCTAGGGCTGCAGCTGCTTATACTCCCTGTGGCCTATCCAGGTTCAGACCAGCATTCAGCTGGAAGCAGGCTGGAGTGTGCGGTCTCCTCTCCTGGAGCTGGCACAGATGTGTTAGATGACATCCACCTTCATTTCTGTGCTTCTCTGTACTAGCCTTCGAGTTTATGCTCTCAGTCCTTTGCTAACACCTCCCTGTTTCATGTTGGCCCTTGGCCCTCAGCTTAGCCTCTACAGGCTGACCATGGAGAAAGGGCTCTGGCCTTTTCCATTTTCATCCTTAGTGTGTAATGTTGCTTAGAGGACCCACCTGGGAAGGTCTGCATGCTGGGAAGCACTGTTGCCCCCTTAGAGGATGTGCTGGCTTTCTTGAGGGCAGACATGGTGTTGAAGATGATATTCCCTACTCTGGCCCTGTAAGAGCCCCTTTGGGAGCCCTCTAGAGACGATGGCCTTAAAGTGGAAAGGGTGACAGGAAGCATGTGCCCTGCTCTATGACACTCCTGGAAGCTAGAAGAGGCTACATCATGCCTCCATTGCCAGCAAGCCCTAGAAGAGACACCAGACTCTGGGGGATTGGTCCTGACACCTCATCCACCCCCAGTTCCCTCAAGTGAGGGGTCAGGGGAAGGGGGTCTGATTGCCACACCTTGGAATGGTTGTCAGAGTATTACTACCCTTCCTCACAGTACAGGTGGCTCTGTGTTTTGTTCTAGGCCAGGATGGCAGCCCAGGTGACACTGGAGGATGCACTGTCCAATGTGGATCTCCTGGAAGAGCTGCCTTTGCCTGACCAGCAGCCCTGTATCGAGCCCCCACCATCCTCACTGCTCTACCAGGTGTGTGCCGAGTGGAAGTGGAGTGCATTGTCTGCAACACTGACCTCCACGTGATGGTTTTTCTCTTCCTTTCAGCCAAATTTCAACACTAATTTTGAAGACAGAAATGCATTTGTCACTGGGATTGCAAGATACATTGAACAAGCAACTGTCCATTCTAGCATGGTAATTCCTTCTGTATGTCTTTGTTTTCCTTGGGGGAATAGTACCTGTACTGACAAATGTACACCTTTTTGGTATTATCCTGATATGATCTGTGGTAAGGAAAAAAAGAAGAAAGTGGATGAAAATGCCTTATGTTTTTAAAAAGACCTTTGTGTTTCTTATTATAAACATAATACATATTCTTTCTGAAAATTTAGCATTTATAGCTCAGAGAAAACCTTTGTCAGCATTTTGAGGGAGTACCATTCTCTCTCCTCTTTATGTTTGTATTATTTTTTTAATGTTTATTTATTGATTTTGAGAAAGAGAGTGCACAGTTGGGGAAGGGGCAGAGAGAGAGAGAATCCCAACCAGGCTTTGCACTGTTAGTGCAGAGCCCAGTGTGGGGCTCGAACTCGTGAACCGTGAGTGAGATCACTACCTGAACCAAAATCAAGAGTCAGATGCTTAACCGAGCCACCCAGGCACCCCTCTCTCCTTTTTATTTACACTCGTATTCACGAACACAGTTATACACTAAGATATGACTTCGATTGCATGAATGAATTGCAGTGTTATTATGTATTTTAATGATTTCATGAACTTTTCACTTGTCTTTAAAGTGTGCCAGATAAGGTGGTTTTTTCATAACTGTATAGTTCATTTTGTAAATGTCCACAGTTGAATTACTTTTGCATGTTTACTTAGTTTCCCTTTTTTTATTTGTAATAGAAAATGCAGTGATGAATATCCTTCCAAATCCATCATTATTCCCATTGGTAGATTTGTAGAAGTGAAGTTACTGGTTTCAAGGTTGTAAACATTTTAAAGCATCTTAAGAATATGATGAAATTGTAGTTGATGTTTTTAGAACATCTCTGAACTTCTTACCATTTTTATCAAAGGAAACAATGTGAAAGGAGTAGACACTAAAGCAGTTTAAAAATGATGGCAGTCCTCTTTGCATGGATACTCTCTCTGGATTTTAAGTGTTGCAGAAATACAGCTTTTCCTCCCCTGCACTGGGGATGGCAGAGCTGCCTCAGTCTTAAGAGCCTTGAAGACCCTGTGCGCATCTGTGCTACTTCAGGTCTGCACTGGCAGCAGGTTGTTTAGGGTTGAATGGAGCTGAGGAATAGTGGCTGTGGCAGGTGCCTTGGGCTGTGCTGGCTCCTCTCCAGCCAACAGAAGCCATGAGAGTGTTTGGGCGGTCATTGTGGCCACACTACTGCACTGAACGTCACCAGCCTCTTAGCAGCTGTCTTGTGGCGTGCAGGTCCTGGTACTTGTCTATTCTCAAAGTGAGAGGATACTATGAAGTATCTGGGTTTTAGCAACATGGCATTTCCTTTTTTATGATCATTTTCCTACTTGTCTTTGATTTGCCCTTTGTACCCTTGCAGAATGAAATGCTGGAGGAGGGCCAAGAGTACGCGGTCATGCTGTACACCTGGAGGAGCTGCTCTCGGGCCATCCCACAGGTGAAGCCATCCCAGCCAGGCCACGCTGTCATTCCCGTGATTCCATCCCTGCTGGCCACGTCCCTACCACAGACCTCACTCCTATCCTTATGGTTCCCTCATCTTAGCCAGACCACACCCCCATGCCACCAGCCCTGCCTCTATCCCACCAGTACTTTCCCCCTCCTGCACCCTACCCCACAGCCTGCTGGGACTGCCTGCTCTCCTATCTAGCTTATTTGAAGCCTCTATATCATACTTGTTTATTCCTAGGTGAAATGTAACGAGCAGCCTAATAGAGTGGAAATTTACGAGAAAACTGTAGAGGTCCTTGAGCCTGAAGTCACAAAACTGATGAATTTTATGTACTTCCAGGTAAAACGGTGAAATAATCCTAGGGGTTTAATGCAGAGGAGTAGGAATCTGGCCCACTCTCACCCATCACCATGACTTACTAAACAAAGTGTATGTGAATTAAAGCAGCCATCATGGCCTCTGAGACAAAAGGGCACCAGACCTTTGTCAGTCTACAGCTTTATTGGCCCTTCCAGAATAAATACGTCTTTTGTGTTTCACTTCTCTTATTTCTTTAAGAGTGAATGAATATTTCCTTCATGAAGACTGCTTTCTGTCAGTTCCAAATATGTTTGTCTTTCTGCCAGTTTGTACTTTTGATTCATCTGGTTTTTCAGATGTTTTTCTCTCAGCCTCTGCTGACTGTCCACTTAGTGGTCCTTGGCCTGCCTTGGCTCCTTTGGCCCATTGGTTGGGTGGAGTAGCCACAGGGAGGGGACTTGCTGGCTTTTTAAGGATATACTTTGGAATTGTATGAAGGTTTTTATTATAGATTCCTTCAGCAAAAGGAGAAGATAGAACTTATTAGGAGATGAATTTTTGTTTTATCTTAAAGGTTATTAAGAGGAAAAATTTCCCTGCCCCCATCTTCACCTCTGAAAGTGAAAACATCTGTTTGTAGACCTTCTATTGGAGCATTTCCTCAGTAACTTTGCTTGAATAATCAACAAAATTCTTTTATTTTAGGGATAGTTGGTAAAGTGGAAAATTAATGGTGATTATCACAGAGCAAAGGCATGTGGAAATTACTTTATAGAAACAAGTCTCATTACCTGAGCTGTAAATGTCCACTCATTTGGGTGGGTATTTCATCAAAGAGTAACAGTGACTGTGCTTGAAGGTGGGCATGGAGTTGGCCCATCAGTGACAGCAGTTTTTTTGCCCTCCCTTCCTCTTTTCAGAGAAATGCCATTGAGCGTTTCTGTGGGGAGGTGAGGCGCCTGTGCCACGCGGAGAGAAGGAAGGATTTTGTTTCTGAAGCCTATTTGATCACGCTGGGAAAGTTCATCAACATGTTTGCTGTGCTGGATGAGTTAAAGAACATGAAGTGCAGTGTGAAGAATGACCACTCGGCATATAAGAGGTGAGTTTTGACCTTGTGCCCTAGGACCTTGCAGAGAGTGCTCAGGCAGGCAGAGTGGTTCTTGATTAGCCACATGCTCTGCACCTAGTAGGTGCACATCCCATATGTGCTGAAATAACCACAACTGTTTGGTAGTGGTTGTTTGGCAGGCTCAGGACTATTTGAATACACACTCCTGCGTATGAGATGCAGGGGTAGCTGGCGGATTATGTGTGTGGCGATGTATTGAGTGAGATGTCTTCTCATAGAGTATGTGTACATTGTGGTTTTATGAAGCTAGAGCGGAATATGGACACCCTGGTCATCCTCAAATGTTTGTTGAGGACCTCTGGGTGCTCAGCACATGTGAGAAGGAAGATGTGCACAAGATCAATCCCTGTTACAGAGGGTTAGGGTCACTGTAAGGCTTTTGGCTCCATAAGCATCTTGATGAACAGCACCTCACTTCCTGGTTGTACATTTTGGGAAGGTACACACCATCACAGCAGTGGGCAGAGCTGGCCTGTGGACTGTCTTGGGGTCACACTGAGCTTCCAGGTCCCCAAAACCAGCTCTCCTCCAGGGAGAATGTGGAGAACTTCTGGAGAAGAGAATTGGAAAAGGTGGGTGTGCCATGGAATACTGTGAGGGAGCAGTTGATGGCAGGAAGAGGAAGAAGGGTGGTTGTTTAGAGCAAAGCGAGCTGTCTTCTAATAAACTTTCTTTAGAAAGTCTGTGCTTGGTACTGTTGAAGGCATGGTTGGCTGGAATGAGATGCTGACTACTGTTTCTTCTGCTAGACAAAGAATCTTTGCTGTGAAATTAAATTTGATGAGATTTTACTTTGCATTGGAATAGGCTTTAGTTGTGTTGTATCTGAAATCACACAACCGTTGTCGGGTCTTTAAAATAAAATCAACATGGGATATAGTGCTAAACAGATCTAAGATTGAGGCAGCAGTAGGAGTTAAGCTGGATCATCTAGGGTTTTAAGCTTGGTCCATGTGATGTTAAGTGTAGGCATTCATCACCTAGAATTAGCTCTATGCAGAAGCCTGGATCTCCAGAACTAGAGAATCCTTGGAGTTGACCTATTAACCTTGCTTGAATAGGAAAGTCTGGAGTTGACCTTGTTTGATGTGCTTGCAGGCAGTCCGCACCCCCTCTAGGAGCCACCCAAGCTCTCCGGAGCACAGAGTGGGCCTGGGGCACCCCTCAGCTGCCATTGGCTTCTTCCTTTGACCTCTGTTTGGGATCCCTTATCATCTTCCCAGATAGTAACCCCCATTTCTCCCCAGCCCTCACACACTTACACTCACACTTTTTATTTGCACCTGGAAATAGCTAACAGTACAAATGCTTCTGAGTATAAATGCCAGGATAACCTATATGGCGAGGCTTGAGGAAAATAGAAAACAGCATCTTTGATTTTAAGTTTATTTATTTTGAGAGAGTGAGACAGCATGTGCCTGTGTGTGTGCGGGAGAGGGGGCATCTCTCAGCACATAGCCCGATTGGGGACTCAGTCTCATGAACTGTGAAATCATGACCTGAGCCAAAATCAAGAGTCGAACTCTTAATCGACTAAGCCACCCAGGTGCTCCAAAAAAGTGCTATCATATCAGGGTTCATATTAGGTTTAACTATATAATTTATTTATTTATTTTTTAGTTTTTAATGTTTATTTTTTTTATTTTTATTTTTTCAACATTTTTTATTTATTTTTGGGACAGAAGACAAACATGAGCAGGGAGGGCAGAGAGAGAGGAGACACAGAATCGAAACAGGCTCAGGCTCTGAGCCATCAATGAAACCTGGCCGGGGCACCGAACTCTACGGACATGAATCGTGACCTGGCTGAAGTCGGACAGCAACAACCAACTCGCCACCAAGAAGCCCCTTATGTTATTTTGACAGAGAGAAGAGAAAGAGAAGAGAAGACAGAAACATGGCGGGGAGGGAGAACAGAGAGAAACACAAGTGGAAACAGGCTCAAGGAGAGAAGTCAGCACAGAGCCCGGCGGCGAGCTCGAACTCACAGAAGTGCAGATCATGACTGAAGTCAGGCGGCTCACAGCCTAACTGAGCCACCCAGGTGTCCCTAACTATATAATTTTCTAAAACCCAGAGAAATAATAGTGGCTTAAACAAGATTGCAGATTATCTCTCATTTCTCTCTCATCTGAAAAGTCCCAAAGTAGGTGATCTGCAACTGATGAGGGGATTCCACAGTGCTCATACCAGGGCTCCTGCTGTCCTGCTGCTCTGCCATCTTCATGTGTTGTCTCACGGTCCAAGATGGTTGCTTGAGCTCCAGCTATCATGTCTGCATTCCAGTCAACAGGGAGACAGTAGAATAGAAGGGATCATACTGTTTATTATCCATATACTTCCAAGTACTTTGCAGTGCTTTTCATTATATCTCATTGCTCAACCATTGGTCATGTGAAGATGAAGCACATTGCTGTAACATGGAAATTCAGGATTTATTCCTAAGGAGGTATGGAGGAAATGACTGTTGGGATAGGTTATTAGCCTTTACCATGGGAATTTTTTTCAGTAAAACCCCAAAGTTTTTTGGTTGCACAGACATGTCCTTAGGTGGCCAGTTTACGCTAAACTTTTTGGGGAACAGCCCTAGATGTGCAGAATGCTCACATTCGCTGCTTTATGCTGCTTTGCAAGACTCAGAGACTCAGTGTGTGCCTTCTAGTCTTATTGGACCTAAGTGTACAGGTAATTCTGTGTATGCTGTTTCCTCTCTCCTCACATCTTCTCTGTGGGTAGGTCAGGTGGACAGTTGTTTGTTATAGATGTGATAAGTGAGGTTCAGGAGAGTTCAGGAGGTCAATCCAAGATTGAGCAGTGTTTTGGTGGTGGAACCAGGATTCTGTCTCTGACCTTTGGCACCAGAACTGTGTGTGGTCCCTGACTTGTGGGAGACATGGTGGCCTAGAGGATTCTTGGTGGAGAACATGGACAGTGCCGGCCATCTTCATTACCATACTCTGGGAGTCACAGAGGGGGAGGCAGTCTTTCTCAGACTTAGGAACAGGTAGCCCAAGGGAGAGGCCAGTGTGCAGGAAATCCCCAGGAAGGCCTGTGGTTGGTGCTGCCACGTCTCTGAAGAAGTCCATTAGCTGTTGGACAGTGAGGTCGTGAGCTGTCCAGGTTGACAGAAGAGTGACCTGGAGTCCAGGGTAGAGAAGTTTGAGGAGGCTGAAATTATAACTCGCTTCTAAGACCTACATTGTCACAGATAACTGTAGCCAGATAAAGTAATCCTGATTTTCTATGCTTTTTTTTTTTTTAATCATTAAGTCCGTTGGTTATATGACTTTTTTTTTTTTTTTTTTGCTTTCAAAGGGCTGCTCAGTTTTTACGTAAAATGGCGGACCCACAGTCCATCCAGGAATCACAGAATCTGTCCATGTTCCTGGCCAACCACAATAAGATCACCCAAGTAAGGCTTCCCCCACCCTCCCCACTTTGGCTGATGGCATGCACTGCTGGGGTCTGAGGGCCAGGGAGCTAGGAGCAGTCAATGGCATGGATTTCCCACTTTGTGTTTCAGTCTTTACAGCAGCAGCTTGAAGTGATTTCTGGCTACGAAGAGCTCCTCGCTGATATTGTGAATCTGTGTGTGGATTACTACGAGAATAGGATGTACCTGACACCCAGTGAGAAACACATGCTTCTCAAAGTACGTGTATGGGCATGGCTGCTCACATAACTGTGCAGAGAGACAGGCTTGCTCTCAAGAAGAGGCTGTGCTTTGACTGTGATGCTCTTGCCAACCTTTTCTTATTCTCACGCTTGCCGTGTGTGTGTGTGTGTGTGTGTGTGTGTGTGTGTGTGTGTGTACACGTACGTGTGTTTGTGTACACAGCACCCTCCACCCTGCTGACAGCCTGCACTATAGGCTCTCCAGACACATTCCTTTGAATGTGTCCCAGGCTTGATCCCATTGTCAGGTATATGACATGCCTACCCCTGGAGAACGTGCTCATGACTGAGGAGTCCTGGTCAAGGGCTTCTGTCAGCATTAGCTTCTTGTAGCAAAGTTATCATCAGATTCTACTTGTTAAGGATGTGATTCCTAAGAATTAACACTACTGTGTCTCCATGATTGTAGTAGACTTTTCTTGGTCAAGAGCATAGCCTTTTACCATACTTTTCTTTATTACTCAGTTTTAAATTGGGGAGTGTTTTCAGTGACATTTCTTACTGGGATGAGGAGAAGTCAGTTCTGCCATTGCATTTGCTCTGCTTTCCACCTTTGGAAAGGATGGCCCTGAAGAACACTGTGCTGAGTGTCCTGTCAGCACAAACCCTTCCCTATAAGAGTGGGTCCAGCCCCAAGATCTCTTCCCCACAGGAGAGCATGGGCGAGTTGGTGCCCTCTCTAGTGGAGCACTTTATGACAGTGGAAATATTCTGTTTGTGCCATCTGGGGTGGGAGTCTCTGGCCATGGATACTTATGGAAATACATACTTAGTATTTCATTGGGCTTAATGAGAGGTGGGTGTTTGTGCCTGGAGAGGACAGTAAAATACGCACAAGAAATGACACAGATAAAAGAAGGGCTTCTTATGAAGGGATAGCTATTTATGAGGAGCTTTTAAAAGTGCTTTTTGAACTTTTTTTTTTAATGTTTATTTATTTTTGAGAGAGAGACAGACAGAGCATGAGCAGGGGAGGGGCAGAGAGAAAGGGAGTTACAGAATCTGAAGCAGGCTCGAGGCTCTGAGCTGTCAGCACAGAGCCCGACGTGGGGCTCAAACCCATGAAACCGCGAGATCATGACCTGAGCCAAAGTTGGGTGCCAACCGACTAAGCCACCCAGGTACCCCTAAAAGTGTTTTTTGAAAGAAGAATGAACTCCCACTTCAAATATATGAACTGTAGCATTAGAAGTTTTTATGGGTAATTAAACTTTTAGGTCTGAGTTTTATGTGCCATTTTGTGATTTTCAGGTCATGGGATTTGGTCTATACTTGATGGATGGGAGTGTCAGCAACATCTATAAACTTGATGCCAAGAAAAGAATAAACTTATCCAAAATTGATAAGTACTTCAAGGTGAGTTACATTTTTTTAGATAAGCCTTTCTTATCAAGTGTATACACTTAATTTTGGGAGTTAAACCTCTGTGCCCCATATTTGGAAACATGGGTGTGGGCAGTGGGGCGGGGGGAAATCACTGGCTCCCATCTGCAAAAGCAGCAGTTTTGTCTGGGTTTGAACCTTGTATAAAGGGCATCATGGCAGGTGTACTCTTTTGTATCTAGCTGCTTTCACTCACTTATTAGATTCATCTCTGTGAGATCCTGAAGCTGTAGTCCTTAGGTTTTCATTGTGGTATCACAGCCCATTTTATTATTATACCTCAACTTATTTATCCATTCTGCTGTGATGGACATGAGTTTTGGCTGGTATGAACAGTGCTCCTTTGATTTAGTGCACATCTGCGCATGTTTGTGTTTGCTCAGGGCTAGGATTGGGGGCCACAGGCATATACATTTTCAGTGTTAGATGTAGGCTAACAACTTCCCACATGGCTATGCTGATTTGCATTCCCATCAGCTATGAATGAGCCTTCCTGTTGCTCCACATCCTTTGCCAACACTTGACACTCACTTTTTTGAGGAAGTGCATCCTAAAGGGTGTACATCATTGTGATATTTTTGGCTGACATTTCCTTGTGGTTTAGTTCATATTTCTCTGATAACTTCACACTCTTCATCTTTTGTGTGTTCTCTTGTGAAGTGTCACTTCAAGTTTCTTGCTCCCTACCCCGCTCCCCCACCCCCCTTGATTTATAGTTCTTTATATATTCTGGGTACATGTTCTTTGTTGAATACGTGTGTTATAAAATACATGCATTCTGTGCTTCTGGCTCTCCTTTTCACTTTCTTAAAGGTGTCATTTGGTGGACAGCAGTTTTTAATTTTAATGTAATCTAATGTATCAATCTTTAATATCTACTTTAAGAAATCTTTGTAGGGGTGCCTGGGTGGCTCAGTTGATTAAGCGTCTGACTCTTGGTTTTGGCTCAGGTCATAGTCTCACAGCTCATGGGATCGGGCCCCATGTCAAGTTCTGCACTGAGTGTGGAGCCTGCTTTGGACTCCCTCTCTCTCCCTCTCTCTCCCTCTCTCTGTCCCTCTCTCTCTCCCTCCCCCCCCCACTTGCTTTCTCACTCTCTGTCTCTTTAAATAAACAAACATTAAAAAAAAAAGAAATCTATATAGAGCGGGCTTATGAGAATTTTCTTCTTGTTACCTTCTAGAAATAGCACTATTTCTTTTTCCATCTAGATCTATAATCCTCCTGGATCTGGCCTCTGTGAATGGTGTGAAGAAGGGTGTTGACATTTTTTGATTTTCTTTTTTCCCCTTATGGGTATCCAGTTGATTCCGTCCATTTATTGTAAAGGCCATCTTTTCCCCCATTGCTGTGCATTGTTGCCTGGGTCATAAAGCAGGTGTCTATATATATGTGATACTGTCTTAGGTTTCCTGTCCTCCTCCACTGCTCTCCATGCTCCAGGGCAACACTGTCTTAGTTGCTATAGTTTTCCGTAGAACAGATCTGCTTATCAAGAAGACTTCAAGATACGTTCTTCAAGATTATCTTGGATATTGTCCCTTTACCTTTCAAAATAAATTTTAGAATTGGCTTGTTGATTTCCATATACACAAACACATATATGCACTATCCATAAACCATTTTTCTTCTTGGAATATTGTTTTGTTTTGATGTTTATTTATTTTTGAGAGAGCATGGGTAAGGGAAAGGTAGAGAGAGAGAGGGAGACACAGAATCTCAAGCAGGCTCCAGGCTCTGAGCTGTCAGCACGGAGCCCAAAGCAGAGCTTGAACTCACGGACCACAAGATCATGACCTGAGCCAAAGTCCGGTGCTCAACTGACTGAGCCACCCAGGCACCCTCTTCTTGGAATATTGTTTGGGATTCCATTGAATTTATAGATCAGTTTAGGGAGTAAAAAGTACCAAGTCTTCCAAAACGTTAACTTGATATATTTCTCCAGTTACTTAGAACTTTAAAACTTTCTCTAGAATTTTTAGTAGTGTTTTTGTTTAGAGGTCTTGAACATATTTTGTTAGATTTATTCATATATATTTTAGTTTTTTTGATGCTATTGCAAGTTGTTTCCCTTTAGATTTTAATTTTCTGTTTGTTACTAATAGATAGAAATGCAAATTGATATTTTTTTATGAGCATGGATCTAGCAACAAGGTAGGTTAATTGTAATATTTGAATTGGTTTTATGAATATTGGTTCTTAAATTGTATTTTGTGCAGAGATAGTATTCAGCCCATAGTAATTACTACCATTATTCATTGATTGTATTTGGTGAGTAAACATACATAATGACCTTATTTTTTTTGTTCTTTGAATATAGCAGCTCCAGGTTGTTCCACTGTTTGGGGACATGCAAATAGAACTGGCAAGATACGTCAAGACCAGTGCCCACTATGAGGAGAATAAATCTCGGTAGGAGGAGAGTGAGTTGTCCAGTAGAACATTCTGCAGTGTTCTCATTGTGGTTTTATAACACTTATTTATCTAGAGAGAACACCTTTGACAGTTTTAATCATCTGGAACCAAAACCAAAAACCCATCTGGTAGGCCCTGTCACTTGTGACTGCCTACTTTTAAATTTATTAAAACATGCAATTTATTTTCTTCGTTAGAGAAATTTAACCAAGAAATTTATTTTCTTGGTTATTTTCTTGGTTAGAACATCTGTATTTCATTTTTTGTTTTAAATATGTGAAATTTATTGTCAAATTGGTTTCCATACAACACCCAGTGCTCATCCCAACAGGTGCCCTTCTCAATACCCATCACCCACCCTCCCCTCCCTCCCACCCCCCATCGAACATCTGTATTTCAAATGTTA